CACTGCCATTATGGATAAGCTCATAAACCAAGCAGCGAGTACGGCCTTCCATGCATATACCAATCAGTTTCACAAGATTCCGATGATGCAGTCTACTCAACATCTCAACTTCTGCGATAAATTCACGGTCTCTATTCTGATTATCCTGTGTAAGCAACTTAACTGCAACTTCATTTCCATCTTGCAAAATACCACAGTAAACTCGGCCAAATCCCCCTTCGCCTAAAATCCTTTTCGAACTAAACTTGTTTGTTGCTTTCTCAAGTTCAGAAAGTCCAAATGTTCTAACAGATTGAATACTGGTTGGCATTGTGGAAATTAGGGAAACAGAGGTGGAGCTAGCAATGCTAGTTGATAAACCCGATCCTAGACCTGTATTAATTCAAAATGAAATCATCTCAAGCAGTACAAGTAAAATCAACAGGACTTTCCAGATAGATCATGGAAAGTTCGTACTCAAATAGTACTTGTGGAAAGATCCTTGTGATAGCTAATAGATCAGGATCTACAAACTCACCAGATCTTTTGTTAATTGATGATGTGAAGACAGGGCCAACAGCATTAGACGGTCTTCCAACTTTTCTCCATTTAAAAAAGATGGAAAGAGCTCCAATGAACACTAATAACACAACAAATGCTGAAAGTGCTATGATACCAATTGTTTTGATGCTCATCTTCTGGCTCTTATTAACGAAATTTGCAGTAATGGGAAGATCGCCAACACCTCCACTAGGAGCACTTCCCATGTACCCTCCATATGGTGGTGAAGAAGGAATCCCTGGTAATCATGGCTTATTATTCTCAATATTTACGACGGGGGAGGGGGGGTGTAACAAACGCAGAGAAAAGTTGTTGAAGCTATTACCTGGATAACTGATGTAGACAACTTCATAATCACCAAAAAGCGTCATATTTAGACGCACTTTTTTATCCCAAAACCTTCTGTAAGTCAGTACTGCTGTGGTATTATCGAATTTCTCTCCTAGAGGTACTAAATTTATATCCACCATAGTTCTTCCTTGATTTTGACTGTCTGCTTTAGCACCCATGATTTTCACTTGGCTCTGCTCCAAGTAAGTCCCCGCTGCAATCTCACTTTCAAGGTCGTTCATCACAGGAAAGACAGCATATGGAGCTATATCCAGAAGAAGTCTGACTTTCATGGGAAACACGCAGCCACAAGGTGACCCAAAGGGTGCCGCAGTAAGGGGTTCCATGCATATTTGATCACAACCTTCCAAGTCCAAGGTAAAGTATTTAGTAGAATGAATTTCATAAAAGAAAATTTACAACTTGAAGACTAATCATTGGTCTAGGCAATGAAAGATGAAAATTTGCAAAGCTCCTTTGATAAGGAGGGCACAAAGTTCTTTATGGATCACCATGACCTAGCAAAACCCAAGGCCCCACGTACCAATCACAACATCAAATGTTACAAAGTCATTCAAACTTAGCATGAGATTGAATTAAAACAATCTGGCTCACAATGACAGAAATCCAGCTCTGAAGTAACTCATATTCAAGCAAATGCTTAACAGACAAGAATGGTGTTAGGAATCACGGATCTCCACAACGGTATGATATTGTCCACTTTGAGCATAAGTTCTCATGGCTTTGTTTTAGGTTTCCCCAAAAGGCCTCATACCAATGGAGAGATGTATTCCTTACTTTATAAGCCCATGATCAACCCCTTAATTAGCCAAGGTGAGACTCCTCTCCTAATAATCCTCAACAATCCTCCCCTCGAACAAAGTACACCCTCGAACAATCTCCCCTTAATCAAGGCTCGACTCCTTTTCTCTGGAGTCTTTGAACAAAGTACACCCTTTGTTCGACACTTGAGTCACTTTTGAACTACATATTCGAGGCTCACCACTTCTTTGTTCGACATTTGAGGATTCTATTGACATGACTAAGTTAAGGGCATGGCTCTGATACCATGTTAGAAATCACGGATCTCCACAATGGTATGATATTGTCCACTTTGAGTAGCTCTCATGGCCTTGCTTTGAGCTTCCCCAAAAGACCTCATACCAATGGAGATGTATTCCTTACTTTATAGGACCATGATTAACCCCTTAATTAGCCGAGGTGGGACTCCTCTCCCAACAATCCTCAACAAATGGCTCTATAAACCTGTTTTTTTTAGCAAGAAATGGGATGGACGAACCCATTAATGAAGCACAAGGAGCAAGAATTTCAGCAGCCTAGAAGCAATTACATGGATCAGATGCTTAGAATCAAAGAACCGTAATTTGGCAATGATGTACTTTGAGGTTATACAGGTTTTTCTGTTTTTATGAATAATTGACTGCTGAATAATTCAATCCCCAACTTTACCTTGGTCTTTTGATGGTGTAGGAGCAATCACATGAGGTCGTATACGCCGCCGCCGCCGATGATGTCGAATAGGTAAGGGCGCACTCCTAGGACCTACAAAAGTGGAATGTCAGAAAGTAATAGCAACAGAGGACAGGGAAGAATTTATTACATTCCCTTCATAACCTGGAGAAGGTGCAGGAGCAGTGGATGGTCCCAAAGATGACTTAAAGATCCAGTTAGCATGTAACTTTGAAGGCTTAAATGAAAAACTCATCGACTCCAACCTTGCTGCAATGATGGAGACACATGCATGCCATGGAAAAAAGGATAAATATGAATAGTTGAACAATTAGAAGGAGACTACAAAGGAATGACCATCATAAAGTTTTCACTATTTCACTTTTCTTTTTCTACTAATTGTGTTCCCAGAAATAATAGATGCTTTGAATTTGAGAACAATTCCAACCAAGCAAAAATCAAGCATTCAAAAAGAACGACCAAATGATAAGGTAAAGCATGCTCACTGCCTCACTTGAACTCCAAGTTGCCAGGTCATATTTTATAATTGTCTTGTCATCAATCCAAAGTTAATTAATGATTTATTCAATTACAATCCCAACTCCAAACGAATTGTTAATGCTACCAATCGCATTAATTGAATTTGTTTAACATGTTACTCTTCAACTTGTCGAAAACCAACTCAAAGACGCAGGAAACTGAAGCTGAAAACAGAAGTATTTAGATTTGTTGGGAGAGTTAGTAAGATTAACTCCTCCACATAACCACAAGACATACTACAGTCTAATCATTGACGTGAAAGATATAGCTTCACTGAGTAGTTTCCAACAAAAGTTCCTTCGATTTTGACAGAATGTGTAAGATTGCCAACCTAGTGAGTTTGCACAACTGATGGGTATGATTAGTTCAAACACAAGCTACAAATAGTGCCTCATCGATTTCTGTAAGAGCCACGACTTCACATTCGAACAAATTTTGGACACTTATCATGTGTTTATAGTACCAAACTCCGAATATGCATAGACATTTATCAAACAAGACATGTTGATACTAAAAGGAAATCGCTGTACCATGCTCTGTTGGAATTTCTGTGGTCGTTGTTTGCAGGTATGGCTGCAAGGAAGGAGATAAGTATATGTGTGGTGAAGATTGTCCTGAAACCATAGAAAATAGGTAACTTCACTCTCAGAAGCTCTACAACATAATGGCCATGACAATTCAGATGATAATAATAATACAGCTCAACGATGAGAGATTTAAATGTTATATTCAGCAAAATATATCATAAATCATAAGCAAATTGAGCGTCATTCTTACTGTTGGAAGAAAGATTATAGCGAAAATGAACTGTTTCTCGCTGAGAGTTTAACAAAGAAACTTCCTCAGTGGCCTAATTGTTCGCTCAACGAATTATTCATTTACACAGAAACAGAATCTAACAATAAAAAAGCCAAAAGTAGCAAAGCAACCAAAAATGAGATCACGTACTTTCCTCGACAAAATCAAGTCGAAAAGGTAAATGCAAAGTACCTGAGCAAGAGAAAAGCAAATCAACCGCATGAAGAACCAGAAGAAGGCGCATAATCGAGAAACGCATATTGTGTCCAGAAAGCAAATTTCAGAGGAAAGAATCATCATCAGTAGCCACCGCCGCCTACAAGCTCAACCACCTCAACAAAAATCTGCCAAAGAAAACACACACAAGGATAACAGCGAAGTACTCGCCGGCAACAATCTTCCCCTACACAATGCGAGCTCCAAATCCCCCACCACATGGCTCAACAACAACCAAAAAAGAAACTCCCCCTCAGAGGATAACGAAAAACCCTAGGAGAGAGAAATCAAAACAGCACAAACGGGAGGCAGCAATGCTGGTATATTGGCTTGCAGATCCATGAAATGCGGTCGAGGATCTAAAAGAAAGACTATAAAAACTTCAGTTCACGAGGAGAGAAAAGAGTGAAGAACTTTTAGAGATGGAAAGAATGGAGGAAAAGGGAGAGCGAGATCTTGAAAAAGTGAAGAGAGAGAGAGTTCGAACCAGAGGAGAGAGAGAGAGAGAGAGACGATGAGGAGCTAGGTGAGGGACTTTATTACACGGCAACAAACAACACTCTACTGTTACGGACTGCTACTAAGCCACTGCTTTTCTCTCTCTGCAAAAAGACGATCCAATGGATGGCTCTGGTCCACGCGCTGTTGGATGAAACGACAATTTACAGACTCGTTTGACTACGTCATTATTTCTTTTTCTTTTTTTCTTTTTTTTTTTTTTTGACAAAAAGAAGACTCCATCGATTTTTAATTTTAGATTCTCTAATATATTTTTAAATTTTTAAAAACTTTAATAATATTCTTAAATTTTTAAAATATTTTAAAATAACATTCTCATAGTTTCAAAAATATCTTTAAAATTTTTAAATTATTTTTAAAATATTTAAATTTTAAAACCTTCGTTAATATCTATAATTAAAAAAATTAAAAATATAAAAGTTTAGATACAATTTATGAGATATTAATGTATAGTTTCATCAATATGTTGATGGTAACCTAATTTTTTAATATTTTTTAATAAAGATAAAGCGGGTTAATGTTATTTTTAAAAGTTCATGGTATATTTTATGGAATGAAAGTTTCACGGCTAATTTAGGGAATGATCATGGTTTATAATCAAGTAATACTATCTTCATTGGTACGAAGTCCAAAACAAAGTATATATTTTCCATGGATGATGAAAGTCCTACATTTGCTAATTTAGGGAATTATCATAGGTTTATAAGTGAGGTATACTAAGTTTATTGGTATGAGACATTTTGAGAAACGGTAAAGCAAATTCATGAGAGCTTACCCTCAAAGTCGACAATATCATACCATACCATTGACGAGAGTCGTGTTTGCCTAATAAGCCATCTCGACAACCCAGCTAAATCTATCATCCATGTTTATCTCGAATCCATCTTCGACCTTCCAATCAAAGAAGCTAATTAACGAACCCAACATCAAAGGCATCATTCTCACAGCTAGTGGTAGTCCAGGGCAAATCCTTCTCCCTCCGCCGAACGGAATCAGCTCGAAGCTCCGTCCTCTAATGTCAATTTCCGATCCCAAAAACCTCTCATGCATTAATCATAACCTGAGAATCTTTAGGGATTGTGAAACCGGCGATCTCCACTTCTTGTTTCGCCTTACGAGGTAGCAACAATGGACCCGCTGGATGCAGTCGTAAAGCTTCCTTCACCACCGCTTGCAGATATGGCAGCCTCGGAATGTCCGCTTCCTCCATTGGTTTGTTCTTCCCCAAAACTTGCCTGATTTCCACTTGAGCTTTTGCTAATTTTTCTGGATTCCTCAATAGCACTGCCATTGCCCACTGCAACGACACTGAACTTGTATCAGCGCCGGCTGTGAACAATACCTAGCATTTTTTTTTTTTTTTTTTTTTTGC